TTACGTGTTCTTATTAGGGTGAGAGGTTCTTTAGTAAGGCCGACTGATTAAATGAGGCCCTAAAATGAACGGGAATCTAGCATGAAGACTGGGGAAAATCAAAAAGCGGATTAAATAATCTAACTCTAAGTTCTCCACTACCTGAATATTGATCGGGAACAGGTTAGCCGCGTATGTGGAAAGAGTGAGTTAGATTATAGGTAACAACGGGTAGTCTCAAGCTACCCGTCTTTGCACCGTAACTTAGCCATCTGATCTAGAAGAGGAAGGGAGGTTATCATCTACACATACTGTATTAGGAAGTTAATCGTGTCCTAGCTACAGATCATACCTTATTAAAAAGTTTATCGTATCCTGAAAAAAATACCTTATTAGGAAGTTTATCGTGTCCTAGAAACAGGCCATATAACAGAATTATCACTTTCTCCTCCTCCCAATCCACAGTATTCCGGAGTTTCTGCAACGTCACTAAAACTGCAAAACATTGTAAGTTCATATGTAGATTCTATAAAAGGTTTGAATTAAACCAGAGAGGTTAATAAGCACTTATCATATTTAGATTATAGTTCAGTCAGTTTTTTTTTGAGACGCCTCCATGAACCACCACGGGGCGACCTGCCCAGTAGTAAGAGCTGCCCATTAGTAAGAGCTGCAGGAAATCACAAAAGCAATGAGGAATGTTGAAATTAAATGACTTTTGTCATTTATGGGTGCTTGTTTAATAATTTTACCGCAAGATTTTGATAATCTTTGTAATAAACTAGTGCAATGATTGGACAAGTCACAATCAACAATGATAAAAGTGTTTTATATAAAATAACCTAAAGCGAGAATGTCGTTAGTTAACTATGAAATACAGTACCAAGCGATGTATTAAAGTAACACAATTATACTCGTTCTAATTGATATTAGCTTACTTTGATTCAACGAAAACCTACCTTTTATCTGCTTTCGTGAAATTCAAAAGTGATGTTAAAGTAACACGAGCCCTTTAAACTTAAAGCTTGCAGGGGTTCCTCCTATTATCGTTGATCAATTATGTACCAAGTACACTATGTAATACAGCAAAGTCGTCAGTCGATAACTGCTGTTAAAGCCATGAAAGTTCAAAGCGAGTGCAGAAACAAGAAATGGCGCGAAATCATAATGTTCAAGCCACACGTACGACGTACGTATGATCTGCATTATGCTCCTTCATCAACTAATTCTAGTTTTAAACGATTTTGACACGCTGAAATGCGCGCGTGGATTTGCGCGGCGCGTAGAAAAATTTTAAAGCTGTCGGATAGAGGTTAATAAATTTTTCTACTGTCAACACAGCTCAAGTTATTCATGTTTAAATATCAAAAAATGTCCGATTTTTTTGTATTATTTTTAACTAATTTCCTTTTCAAATCGCTGCCACATCAAAATTATTTTACGAAAGTACATTAAATTTTTACAGAAAGCAAGCTTAATCGTTTTAGAACTAAATTAAAAAAGAATTTAATATAAAAATGTTAAAACTTTAAAATTATCGATGGAATAAATTGCCAGCGTCCAAATATATGTAAAATACGACGAAGAGCGGTCACAACACTGCGCGCAGCGGTGAGTCAGCAGCAGTTAGCAGCAGCAGTCAGCAGCAGTTTTTTGCACTTTAGTGTCCCTGTGCAGAGGATTTTTAATTAATTTCTTCGGGACGCCACGCACACTGAAATTTGTTAAAAAATCTTAACGATTGTAAAATACTTGTAAAATATGTGTTTTAATTATTAGAAACCGTTGACGGATGTTAAATTTCTTTGAAGTAGCGCGCGCCGCTTTTTTCTCGAGGCAATTGCTACGAAGTAGCGCGCGCCGGGCTAGTTTGTATCACGTGGTGACCCCCACGGTCGCTTCACTATAGTGGGGGGAGCTGCGCACTTCGTGCGCGGCGGGTCATACAACGTATGACAAGGGCTAGTCTATTAACAATCGACAAAAAACCGTTGACAAGTCCAACTCGGCGCGCGTCTTCGTAGGTTATAAACACACAAAAAGAATCGAGCGCTACCTAAATCTTTTTAGAAACTGTCGATCCGTCGTTCAACATTCTATTAATCCTTGACGCATCTTCCAACTTATTAAGCATTAAGCATGTGTGGAAAACACGATTTCAAGACATGTGATGCTAATGAAGTAAAGTACACAAATATTATCGATGCTTTTATCAAAACTGGTCGCCACTGGCCACGAAGGAATCACTGGTCTTCAGAAGGATTTGTCTTCAGCCATTTCTTATCAATTGAAGAGTACCCGGCTTGGTGCTTACCATATCATAATTAATTATGGTATCACCACAAATAGCTCAGGTGAACAACGTTTCTGGAAGCTTGCTTTGGCTGGAGCATTTTCAGAATGTTTTGGATCCATATTTGCCGATTAGTTTTACATTTGATAAGACCTTTCTTGACATAAGGGTTTCACACCCTGATTACTTACCAAACAGGACAAAAACTCTTCAAGAAGTATACGAAGAGAACGAGAAGGAGAAGATATGATGAGTACTTGGAGAGAGTGTTGAATGTGGAGAAGGCCACCTTCACCCCAGCTGTATTTCTCACATCTGGAGGCATGTCCAAAGAGTGTAAGCGGTTTGTCAACAGATTAGCGGACCTCATAGCCAGGAAAAAGAAAGAGAGATATTGCGATGTGGTAAGGCACGTGAGGACAAGAAGAAGATTTGCAATGTTAGGAACAGTGCTCATTGCTCTACGAGATTATAGAGTCAAAAAATGGACAATAATTATAATTATAATTCTATACACTATACAGTTACATAGTTGACGAAACAAATGGACAATAAATACCAGAAGAAGTCTCTTACAACCTGCCCCTGTGATGGAGTAGATGTGTATATATTTGATTGTTGACATTTCATATAATTTTGGTAGCAGTGAATAATTTCCGTTACCTGTGAATTGTGCTCTGCCAATTGCATCACTTGATTAAATTGAATATATATTATTTGACCTTTGAAAGCATTTAACTATATGTATATATATACTGTTTGACACACTCTTTCTATCAAAGCATTTAACTTGGCTAAGGTACAAATGCAAATGCAAACCTTCCATAGCTGTTGGATACCAACACAGCCACTCTGGTCTCTATCTACAGCATACTGTTCTTCTGGAGGTCTAACTCAAGGCTTGACTAGTGCAAATTGCACTGGCAAGGGTTAGTGTTGGATCAGCAACTCAACTAGCTACATTCACTAGGATTAAACAAATTTGGATTGTTGCAAATGTTACTGAGTCTAAGTTTGGCATTATCTGTATGACAATCTTGTATTTAGCAGCTTGGCTGTGACTCTCACCAGGACTCCATAATTTGATGTTGTTACAATTAGGGGTGTTGAACTATATTCGATAATCAAACCTGTATTCGATAGTTAAATTTATGCGATAAATTGATATTGATATTATTATTGTTGAATGAAGTTAACTCCTGAGATAAATTTTATTAATTTTTTAACAAAGGGACTTGGAGTATAAACGACCAAGTTCGCATAAATGCCTACCCAACCAAGAATTTAGGAGGCAAGGGTGGGTGCGTAAACTTTACGGTCTGCACTCTCCGATCCTGTATCACCCTGGATTCTTTTTGACGTATTTTTGTATTAGGTATATACCTTCTATCCATTCTCTTGCTACTCCAAGTCCCCTAAGATATCTGGTAAAAAGGTCCTGCTAGTTATATATAAAATATATTTATGTTTGCTTTAATTGATACTAAATAAAATTGTTGTTTTCTTGAAATTGTTGTTTTCTTGAACCAGATGTACAGACTATACGTATACTGTACAGACTATACGTATACTGTGATGTTGTTTTCTTGAACCAGATGTACAGACTATACGTATACTGTGATGGCGTTTTGGACCATATCATATAAATGTACAAGCATGAGGGAGTGATAGGCCCAGTGGCTAAAAGTGAGGAATTTAAGAATCTAATTCCTAGTCATAGTATTTTCATAGCCACCAACTGATTTTTGTCAAAAAAATGTAAATTAAATTAAAATTAGTTGCTCTCAAGGGTTCTTAAGACGTTCGAATCCAGCGCATTACACATGTAAGATCTAGCTAGATTCTTGTTGATTCTTGGGACAAAAAACGCTCGACAAATATTCCTGGAAAGTGGAAATTCCCAGTAATTCTTCATTCTCAGAAATCTACAGAAATCTATGACTAGTTTTTCTAGTCGTGACTTGTTTCTAGTCGAGCATTTTGCAGGAATGCTCTAAAAAAGTTCCATGCGATTATAATAGATATAAATATTACACTCTTGAACATGACCACATGGCTTAATAGGTTAATGCTTAATATCCTCCAATCTGCTGGATGCGAGTTCTGAACTCGCAGATGATAATTTTATTCCCACTTTTTTGGCAATTATGAATAACCAATGAAAAACTAATAATACCTCAGTAATATAATCAGCGAAGCACAAGACAGTATGGTATGGAATTGAGGGTGAAACATAATGAAATAGTCACCCGGCCGAAAAATGTATGGTCGTTTTAAAAATACATAATATAGTCTTTTTTTATTTCCAGACTGGATTCCTAGTCAATTTTTTAATTTATACAATGGGGTGATAGGGTTTTATAATTGCCCACTTTTTTAGGATTGATCCTCACACTGCATATACTCACTTTGACAATTATATATCGTTTTTAACTATCCATGCAGCTAAAAACGAACAGCTCAACTGTAACACAGATCACTCTAGCAACTAGCTACCTCCATTCTCCAAAGATAACTTATTATATTAGATTGAAAATGTTTGATAACTCTTACACTTGATTAGAATTTAGAATATTATAATTAAAAATTTTTACCTCAAAGAATTTAGAATGAGAAAATTGAGATTAAACTAGTACTATACTATAATAGGCTAGCGGTTTTGCATAGGTTGATTAGCCTTATTTACATTATGTTGTTATCTTTCATAAGTTTGACTTTTAAACGATCTATTTATCAGGGAATATGTCATGATCACCAGAAGTGCACTCCTTTCAATACCGTGTAATCATATTAACGGAATATGAATTCCTTTTTACTCCATGAACTTAATGTTAAATTCAACTAAAACACTAGTGATTGGGTTGTCTGCTGGTATAGTTACTGTTTTGGGCAGCTATTTGATCAAAAAATGGTTGAACAACGAAGAGACAAGCACTATCAATGATCCTCAGAAACCAAACAAGAGTGGGTTAACGTCTTTTACCTTATTCTTTTCCATTCTGACATTTCGATGGCTAACAAGAAACGTTTTCTTAAATTTTTAAGAATCACTTTATTTTTACTTTCCTCAGAAAAGAAGCCAGATAAGAAGACTTCTGTACCAGCAGTGGATTATTCCAAGCTAGCACCAGCCATCAGTACTCGAAACCCTCAGCTGGGAGTCTTACTTAAGTTTATCAACGAAAAGAGCGCTTTTAAAGAAGAACAGGTTTTTTTATTTGGCTTTACTATAGCTTTAAGTATGGTGTAGGAAAATAGCTACAATTTATCACCATAACTAAGACTATTAGGAAGTTAGGACCATTAAGGATAACTTTTCCCCATCAATATGGTTTTTGGGGCCAAGCCTCGAAAAGTCATTATGGACGATTAGAAATTAAGATTACTTTATAATATGCCAGGGCCCTGGCAGGGTCGTGACCGAATTCATAACTGACCATCCTTCCGAATATTTTAGTCTAGGTCTCTAGGTGCGTTTTGTTACATTCACAAACTTATTTTACATAATTTTTGGGTGCAACCACTGTTTTGTATGCTGAACAGAACAAAATCAATTCTTGCGTAGGCCTGAGAATAAGAGATTAAAATGAAATGCGACAACTTATATGAAACACTGAATCGTTAAATTGAGTGGCCGCCCACTGAAGAAATGCGGCCGCATTTCTTGTTAATGTCGAAGCGTGATTTTAATATCATAACTTATTTTAAATGTAAAAGTGCTTTTTGCTAATAATTTTAAAATGTACTTATAATTATATAGAAAACCGAGTTTCTTGGTATTTAGTGTATGCTAGTCAAGCTCTAGTCACGAAGCACGAACGGCAGGGCGTACCGTATAGTAGAAATGAAACGAGTATATTAAAAAGGATAATTAATTAAATGGAAAAGTAATACAAAGTGAACGTCAACAGATAAAAACTTCTAAGTGTTCGCTCCAATCAATTGACGTGACTAATAGATCACTCGACGTGTCTAATCACAAATGGTAGTGCTCAGTAAGACTGGCTACCGTCAATTTGAATCCCTTAAAATGATTAAGGGGCAACTAAGAAGTGAGCTCTTCACATCCGGCTTTCCGGGTATACTCTCAAAACTCGTCACGCCACACTGCGTGACGGCACAACGCATCTGCTTGCACCACGTGACTTGCAGTCTCGCCAATGAGCACTCCACTAGCAGTCACCCTGTGTCCGCGAGGACCAACCACAGGTCTGGCTGTTAGTCAGGTGCAAAATGAGCGGACGGCTCGTTACAGACAGTTAGTCTGACAGTAGTTCTGCCAGCCAACCGACTTACACTCAAAATGTGTAACTCCCAAATACGAACATATAAAAACATTGGTTATTATATAATACCCGGAAACACATACTAAATTCTACGTCCCTTAAACGTTATGCTAAACTAAGATATCCTAAAAGATATCTCTAAATACCATATTACAACATCTCTACCCAAAAATTTTTTTCGAATATTTTAAAACAATAAAATAATCGCCCTATTCAAAAATTAAATTTTAATGCTCCCACGCATCAAAAGTCCAATACTTAAAAATAAGTCAAGTCTCAAAATAAAATACACGGCCCTAACCCTGTGCATTAAATTTAAATCCTCAAAATCCTAAAGTTAAAACTGAAATTGACTTCCACAAATCTTTCAAAACTTTCCAAAACTTTCAAATACTTCCCTCTTGCACCAAGTTGTAGAGTCTTTGGTGTTGAGTCTTCATCATTTAGATAGAGATGTATCGGAATCTCTAAAACGTCCTTGACAAGCAAACAAAGAAGTCAAAATAAATTCGAAAGTTTCTACGTTTCCGCCACTAAAGCAGCCCTGAACGGTTCGTGTTGCGAGTAAAGATCCTAATATCCCTATCAGTACTGTTCTGAAAGATACACGTGTTATACCTAAGTAAGTTACTATATCACTGCTAAGTACTAAATGGAAAGTTTAGCTAAGTGCGTAAGATATTACTGTACTGAGACTAGATTCCAAAGTAAGTGTACTTCCCTGTCAGGGCTTCTCCCCGTCTTCTACTGGCTTAAATACCTCAAGAGATCCTTGACCACACTAACTTTCTCGTACCCCAAACGGTCGGGTTGTCTCCGCTCCTCAGGTCTCCTAGTGTTATATCTACGCTCCTCCCTCGGAGGGCTCTGTCTTCTTAGATCCACAGGAGAAAGCGATCCTGTTGTGTCAATGTCGTGCCCCACTGTATCATATGACCTAGAACTGCTATGACCCATCGTTCCTTCACTAACAACCGGACTCGATGATCTTCTAGCGGCCGATCTCTCTCTAGCTGGAGTGAAGAACTCTGCAGAATTATCAACTGTTTCTACACTATCGCCTGAGGGAATGTTATGTGTGAGAGGTGTTACCGTACTAAAACTAGGATTAGTAGAATTCATATCTAGTTGTGCAGGACTATTTACAACCCTAGGAGTGGAACTTAAACTAGGTTGTTTATAAATGCTAGCTGCACCATCCCTCTCCAGACGAAACTTCTTCGGATGAACCTCTCTTCTCCTTGCTACAACTGGTGCTCTTCTCAGTTGAAAATCTGTCTCCTCTTCACTATCACTATCGGAATAGACTACATCTCGCCTTGATGAGGCCGTCTCTAACTCAGCTTCACTGCTAACAACTTTAGGCAATGTAAAGCTAGTCTCTAGTTTCTCAGAAAACTTGTTCCTGACATATCTCTTTAACTTTCCAATGTTAAACACCTTCTTCTCTCCATCAGGCAAATCTAAACAGTACAAGTGATCATTTATCTTCTTAGAGATCTTATACGGGCCAACCCAACGAGGACCGAACTTGTGCTTTGGACAATTTATCAAAACAAAAGCTTCCTCACCTTCCTCAAAGAATGGTCCCTTAACGTGCTTATCGTGATATCTCTGTGCATAGCAAAAATCACGCTCAGCTTGGACCCTCACCTTCCTGGTGATAAACTTGAGATTCTTGTACAGCTCGTATGCTTCAACATCAAACTCATTCTCCTTCATAGGCTCTAGCTCGAAATCCTTACGATTCTCAGCTAGCAGGCTTAACGGTGTGTTTAACTCACGACCAAACACCAATCTGTTGCTAGAATAACCTGTGTGCCGATTCCGCAATGAGTTAAGTACAAAGACTACTCTTGATAACCAAAGATCCCAGTCCTGGTACCGTCCTGGTGGTAAGCTGGTTCTCAGGGCAGTATTCAACCGACGGTTCGCTCTTTCAACTCTTCCAGTACTTCGAGAAACGTACGGTTGGCCATGAATGTATTTGCAATCTAGGGCTTGAGCTATGGTCTCGAAATAATTAGCTCTAAAACCCGGATGATTATCAGCCATCATGAATCTAGGCTGGCCAAAACGATCAATCCAAAACCTACGAATCAAAGACACGCTCTCCTTAGCTGTCTGGGTCTTAGTAGGAATAGCTACCACATAATTTGACCAACAATCGGTTATCGTCAAAATATACTTGTAACCTCTAGGTGTAGCACCAACCTTCTCAGGAACTATATGATCGAAACAAATTGCTGAGTTAAAGGAGTGGAACAATATGTGCTTGAGGGGTGCCTTATTGTATGCCTGAGGTGGCTTACTTGCTGCACACCTGCAACATGCTGCAATCCATAACTTGAAACATTCACCCATTTTCGGCCAGTAGAAATGTCGTTTACAGACTTCAAGACAATTTTCTACTCCAGCATGTGCAGTCTCCTGGTTATGCACCATGTCCAGGACAGATTCATGCAAGGATTCGGGGACTATGATCAACTCTCTACTTCCCTCCGGATCCCTCACTTCAGTCCAACGTCTCCTAAGTATCCCTTCCTTGATACTTATAAGATCAAACTGTTTCCAATAACTTAACAGTTCCTGTGGCATTCTACCCGCCTGAATTACCACCGGTTTCTCCTTCTTGATCACCCAACTATAGACCTGGTTTAAGATATCATCCTCCTTCTGAGCCTGTTTAATCTGCTCATGGGTAGGATTAAGAAACTTTACTCCTCTCTCTAGTGAGCTTACATCACTAGTAACCGCTGAAACATTTTCCACTACATCAACTGCTCCCGCAACTACTGATACTTCCTCTGTTGTATCAGCCTGAGTAAGATTACAATTGCAATGACGGCTATCAACTTCAGGCGAAATCGGAACACTGTTTACAACACTAGGGTCTTCACTATTCTCATCAAACAAGAACCCCGGAATCATACTGTCCTCAACACTCACCTCATTGCACGATTCCTCAACCAGATTACTGCAATCATCATCAACCACAGTCTCGCTGCTAACCGGTACTTGCATCCTCTTAAACAGTATCGGGTGTTTACATCTATAATGTTCACGTCTCACCCGGTTTACTCCCTCTAACGCAGCATCAAGACTAAAAGTGGAACTATGACCAATGCTCGCTACATTTTCTCGAGATTTACCATAACCCTGGTATTTATAGCGGTTAAATCCACCACACCTCTGGTTTCTCTTCCCCGAGATATGCTTCATGGTAAAAGTACAGTTAGCAAGCTCCTGAAGCTTCCTGATGACAAAAGACGTCACTTTCGAAAATCTCATTACAATCTCATAAATATGTGTGTTTTTGACCGCGGGCGACCTCCTTTTAAATCTAGGGCCGCCCTTTAGAAGTTTAAAGGCGCCTGATTGTTAGGTCTATACACTCTGTTCCAACTCTGTTGACCATAACCACTCTGATATGAAGACCCTCTGTCTTGATATCTACCTCTATTACCAGCAAATCTGCTCGGACAGTTTCTCTGAAAATGTCCTCTATTACCACACTCCCAACAACCTTCTAACTGAGAGCGAACGTTACGTGATCCCCGATTATTAGAATTAACCACGTTGCGAGCTGGCTGATAACGTGATTGAACAGGCGTGTTTCTACGATCATCATTTCTCATACCACCCCTAAAACTATTGCTAACCATATTAGGAGTCCATGATCGGCCTGTGCGCTGGTTAACTTCCGAATGGGAAGGAGGACATTCAGGACTATAACTCTCCTGTCTAGTGCCCGTCATAAAGTGGTCACGTGTTTGTCTAGGTGCTGCAAACCTAGCTCTCTGGCCATCTAATTCAGGATTACTAATGGCGAAAATCGTATCCTGGGCCTGAGTGAAACTCCCTGGTTCACCACCAACAGCTATCGTGATACGCTCAGTGTGGATTGCTAGTTTTACTGCCTCTCTATAGGAATGTAACTGGGACTCATAAAGCTTAGTCCTTACAGCTACGTCACGAGCTCCTACAACAAGAACATGCAAGCAACTCTCGTCCCTCTTCGACTCGCAGTCGTATCCGGCTTTAAAAGCAAGCTCATCTATACGTGAAATAAACTGCTGTAGGTTCTCATTTGCTAACTGACGCAATGACATGAGCTCAGTTCTATAGGCCCAAGATTGAGTAGCTGGAAATATCTCCTCTGAGTATCGCTTAATAAGAAGATCAATATTACATCTCTCGTCCGGCCTAAGAGAGATTTTCTGCAGTATTTCCCAGGTGGATTCACAACGAATGTACGACAACATATACGTGCTAATATCAGAACCACCGCTATGTCCACACAGAATCAAATGCTCCTTGAACCGCCTGGCAAATATGATGAAATTAGATCCAGTGTCAAAGTAAGGAGGCTTGGGAGGCTTGGCACCCGTCAAATGTGGACCAGCGACTGAACTATTCAATGGGGTTATCATACTGTTGTCAAAATCATCCCCGATGTTCACGTTTCTAAACTTAGTAACTGTGCTAAGTGGTTCTGGCCGTACATTATCAATCTTATTCTGCAGGCATTCTAAAGCTGAATTCAACTCCTTCTCTAAATCGGAAATGTCATGGCTATCTGTACCTAAACCATCTATCTCCTCCATAGTCTTATTTATGTTTGACTCGATAATTGACGTCGCCCACTCCATTTCAGCTGCATAACTATCACACATGCTAAAACGTGAATCTAAATGTAAAAGTACACTTACAAATAGAGTAGATAAGTACTGGAACAGGCGTACTCCTCACGTTGCTGGAAAATCTTCTAGTCAAGACTTTACTGTGCTTTACTGGAACTGTAACTTCTACGTCTATCACTCCTGAGTAGATGTACGGAAAGTAAGGTTGCTAAACTTACGCAAATCTCACTAACAATCTAGGTAATAACGTACTGAAGTCTACAAGCGGCTGTAAACTAGGTGCTCGTCAAAACGATCGCACTCAACTGGAATATACAGGTACCACAAAATGGGTAGCTACACTTACCAAATCTAGTAGGAAGTACTGAAAGATCTCGAACAATCTCCACGTAATTCTTCTGCACTTCGACGTATACCGAACTTAGCTTATCAAATGAGAAACGTTAGGATCTTAAACGAAACTATACTGAATATAGGTGATACTAGAAGGATCACGAGCAAAAATAGCAACACTAAAAGTGGCCTCCAGATATAGAAAACCGAGTTTCTTGGTATTTAGTGTATGCTAGTCAAGCTCTAGTCACGAAGCACGAACGGCAGGGCGTACCGTATAGTAGAAATGAAACGAGTATATTAAAAAGGATAATTAATTAAATGGAAAAGTAATACAAAGTGAACGTCAACAGATAAAAACTTCTAAGTGTTCGCTCCAATCAATTGACGTGACTAATAGATCACTCGACGTGTCTAATCACAAATGGTAGTGCTCAGTAAGACTGGCTACCGTCAATTTGAATCCCTTAAAATGATTAAGGGGCAACTAAGAAGTGAGCTCTTCACATCCGGCTTTCCGGGTATACTCTCAAAACTCGTCACGCCACACTGCGTGACGGCACAACGCATCTGCTTGCACCACGTGACTTGCAGTCTCGCCAATGAGCACTCCACTAGCAGTCACCCTGTGTCCGCGAGGACCAACCACAGGTCTGGCTGTTAGTCAGGTGCAAAATGAGCGGACGGCTCGTTACAGACAGTTAGTCTGACAGTAGTTCTGCCAGCCAACCGACTTACACTCAAAATGTGTAACTCCCAAATACGAACATATAAAAACATTGGTTATTATATAATACCCGGAAACACATACTAAATTCTACGTCCCTTAAACGTTATGCTAAACTAAGATATCCTAAAAGATATCTCTAAATACCATATTACAACAATTACATGCACTCTAATGCCATGTAATTGCACATATCTTGCGCTTGCCTAAGTATGTGATAACAACTGTTAGACTTACTAAAATAATAATATTATAATATTATATTATGTTTTATATATATACATATATATAGCTCTGTTATTGTTGTTTTTACAGGAGCATCTCAAGAAGTCTGGGTGCCTGCTAAATGTAATCACTGTATTGTGGCAAACGAGCAATCCTGACATCAAGATCGTTTGTTACAAAATCGTTACAAACATATCAACTAATCCTGATATGCTTCAAGAGTTTGTTAAGGTAAGAGAAATTTCAGTGACAGTTTCAGACTTTCAGTGACATAGATTGTTCAAGTGGCAAGAAATCAATGTTCCTAGTTATATTATTACCAATACTTAATCAATATTGCTGTACATGTTCTTTAGTTGTTCAAGGCACATTATATACACATTTATAACATCCAATCTCACTGTAACAACTCTAATCTTACACTGTCAAACTTACCCATCCTCCATAGGCACTATACGTGTAAGAGAGTGAAATCTTTTGACTGGTAGCACCCGCGTAACTTCACCCTGAATAGCACCTAAAGTTCACCCTAAATAGCACTTACCTTTCACCCTTAATAGCACCTAAAGTTCACCCAAAATAGCACTTACCTTTCACCCTAAATAGCACTTACCTTTCACCCTAAATAGCACTTACCTTTCAACCTAAATAGCACTTACCTTTCACCCTAAATAGCACTTACCTTTCACCCTAAATAGCACTTACCTTTCACCCTAAATAGCACTTACCTTTCACCCTAAATAGCACTTACCTTTCACCCTAAATAGCACTTACCTTTCAACCTAAATAGCACTTACCTTTCACCCTAAATATCACTTACCTTTCACCCTAAATAGCACTTACCTTTCACCCTTAATAGCACCTAAATTTCACCCAAAATAGCACTTACCTTTCACCCTAAATAGCACTTACCTTTCACCCTAAATAGCACTTACCTTTCAACCTAAATAGAACTTACCTTTCACCCTAAATAGCACTTACCTTTCACCCTAAATAGCACTTACCTTTCACCCTAAATAGCTCTTACCTTTCACCCTAAATAGCACTTACCTTTCACCCTAAATAGCACTTACCTTTCACCCTAAATAGCACTTACCTTTCACCCTAAATAGCACTTACCTTTCACCCTAAATAGCACTTACCTTTCACCCTAAATAGCACTTACCTTTCACCCTAAATAGCACTTACCTTTCACCCTGAATAGCACCTAAAGTTCACCCTAAATAGCACTTACCTTTCACCCTGAATAGCACTTACCTTTCACCATAAATAGCACTTACCTTTCACCCTAAATAGCACTTACCTTTCACCCTGAATAGCACTAACCTTTCACCCTAAATAGCACTTACCTTTCACCCTAAATAGCACTTACCTTTCACCCTGAATAGCACTAACCTTTCACCCTAAATAGCACTTACCTTTCACCCTCGATCTTACTTTAAACTCCCCTAATCTTGCACTGTAAGTTCACTCCTTATATTTCATTGTTACTTCACCCCCAATCTTGTACAATATAACACCTTAAATATTAAGTATCGCGAGTTTACACCCCAATCCTGCAATGTAACACTCCCACACAATAATCTTAATTATTAATATCAATATCCCACTAGCCTGTTGTACCACCTCCAGATGTACTATGTACATCTCACATTGTACAATGTACCTACAAAATGTACATTATGATATATTAATAACAAATCAATATCCCACCAGCCTGTAATACCACTTCTGTGTGAAGCGCTTGCGCAGGAGCAGGAAGATGTTGAAATACTGCGAAATATTCTAAACCTCCTGGTGAACATCACCTCTCACCAGGACATCATCATTTCTGAATACAACCTCAGAGCTATTCCTCAGATACTGTCACTCTATACACCTCAAATCAATGTAAGGTTTGTGTTATGAATTTTAAACCCCATTGCTTCACCAAACACTTTTTTGCAAATGTCAAATTTGCCGAATTTAAATTAAAACAGTGTGTGACTGTGAGCAAAATGATAAAAATAATAGACTGACCTATTTTACCAGGGGGCTTGGAAGTCAAATATAATGTTTCTATAATGTTTATTATAAAATATATTTCAGTATCAATACGACATAGTGTTAAGTTGCCTGAAGATACTCATCAACATGACCTGCTCTGATATGGTGTTTGATTTAACTCTTGTGAGTTTACTTATTGCACCTTTTTTTTAATTATTAAACTGAAATATACAAATATTGATATTACTTTCGCGTCGCTTATTATTTTAATGACTAGCTATTCTGGGTGCTGAAACTTACACATGATACTCACTACTCGCACCTTGTCACATATTAAGGTTGTAAAAGATATCCAGCACCAGTGATCGGACCGGGCACGGGCCAAGGAGATTATCTCTTGCCGTAATGTTATCGGCCGGTAATTTAAGTAATCTTAAACTGTTGGGAGAGTTGTTTCACTTCCAGCATTCCCTCTCAATTTCAAAATTGTGGAAATAATTTAGATGATTTTCAATCAGAGATATAATTTCCTTGCCAAATATTAAAGATTTTAGCCGTGGCTAGGGGGGGCATTTTTGAGCTGGGACCCCGGCCGATCACTGAGTTCACATGCTACAGCCTACAGTTAGAATCTTTTGCTATTCTTTCTTGCAGTACTAAGAACGTTCAACTCCAGCATTATCTTCAGGTGTACATGACGAGTATACATTTGCTACACGGTTGTAAAAACAATGCTATTATTCTCCGTGTTCTAACACTTTTGAGAAATATCCTTAAGTCTGGAACTCTGAAACACGGTCAGTGACTTTAGCGACTGGTGATATTGTATTACAGAATAAACCCTTAAGAATTATAGTTCTGTTCACCAGGGCAGAGGGCTTGCAACAAAATACATAATTTATATTTGGTAATTCGTTTTTTAATAAGAAACTCATTTTTTGTATCGCTAAGTTTACTACTGTTAAATTGTAGTACTTACAAAATTGTTATTTTCAGACTGTAAATTTGACGACGAACTAATGCGAGGTATTGGCACGGTTTTATCCAGTAGTGAAGATAACGATAACCTCGAAATTGCTAATCAGATATATCGCCTAATATCCGATCACTGATAGTTTTTAGCTCACTCAATAAGATCACTTATCATTCAAGTTCAAGAGGGGTTGCTTCAAATTTTTAAATATTTCTAGGGGTGCATCCTATTTTATGGGGGTTCAGGGCGGGGGTTGCACCCCAATTATTGTAAAGTAAGCAACATAGATAAATTTTAAGGATGTTACACTAATTTGGGCATGCGTGTTTATTTATACATTTTATTTTGTGCCCGTTTTTTATTTTTATTGTCGAGTTTCAGTGTGTATTATGAATTTTTATAGTCAGGGTGGATAGACAATATCTGATTATTTTTATTATTATAGTGTGAAATGGGAAAAGGCAAAATCTATATTTAGATTTTTTATTACACTTAAATCAATGATCATTAATATCTAGTGTTGATAATTTTACCTGATTTTAAATTTTATACAAATTTTTTCATCTGATCTTATCTGTTTTTTACTCGGTTTATTACCTTTGCATCGTTGCATCGTTTCATAAAATTAATAGCCTGGTGTCCCATTTTTAGCCTCCGTTTTGGGCGGCAAAATTTGTGCCATTTTCTTGTGAAAGGTTCTGAATTTCTACCAAAATAAATGATTTTACTGCGCGCTGAGACCAATTTAGCGGTAGCACGCTTGTTCTTTCTCTCTAACCCGCTGATTTTAGTAGGATATGACGGGTATAGCATTGGGTAGACTGCAAGAGGAACGAAAGGCCTGGAGAAAAGATCACCCATTCGGTTTCGTTGCTAAGCCAATTAAAAACAGTGATGGAACTCTGAATCTCATGAATTGGGAATGCTCCATACCAGGTAAAACCACTCCTTATTTCACCAGTTTTGTTTTGTTTTTGGTTAGTTGCTGTAATGTCTAAAAATAGAATATTGCAGTTCTAGTACTTCAGCATCACATGATGTATAATGTATTCAGGTAAAAAGTCTACTGCGTGGGACGGTGGGTCGTACAAGCTGAGGATGATATTTAAAGACGATTACCCCACAACGCCACCCAAGTGCAAGTTCGAGCCCCCTTTATTCCACCCTAACGTTTACCCGTCTGGGACAGGTATGGTAGGAGGGAAATTAATTACAGTTTCTTAGCAACTACGGATATTATTTTATAAATCTGTACGACTATTTGTATTGTCGTACTCTGAATCTCTACCGATTAACATATTTCTTCACCGAAATAGTGTCCTGGGTGTGACCTTTGCTGTTAATTCATTAATTGTTCCTAGTTTGGGTAGTTTACAGTCTGGGGTTTCTTACATTTCACAAATCCCATATATTTAATTGAGATAATTAATTTATTTGAGATAATTTCCCGACAGTGTGTTTGTCACTACTTGACGAAGAGAAGGATTGGAGACCAGCGGTGACAATCAAACAGATACTGCTCGGAATTCAGGTGAGGGAGAAATGTAGATTAAATCAAGATGCGCAATTGAAAAAGTCACCTACACCCAACCAGTTTTTCTGGGCAAGGGAAAGCTATAAAGTTTTGCTGTGATATGACGACTGATTTGGTAAGAGGGTTCCCACTGGTTCGATATCACAAATGTCACTGAAGGCTATAGAATTCTCGATACAATGTGACCTGTACAATATAATAGTTAGATGGGGATTTTCCACATTTAACGAAAGCTAGCCCGGGTTAGGGGTATGGAGTATTTGGTTTTGGTTTAGGGAGAAAGCTTACCACATAGCTCCAGGATCGAGATCAGAATATACAGGGTGGCCCAGAGTAAATGACCACCCTGTATACCGGACAATTAGGCAGGGTGCCAAGATATGTGTTTGGATTAGCCTACTAGTGTAATTTGTGCACAATAGCTATTGTAACGTATAATAGTTATTATAATGTATTATTTAAGTGGCTTACTGAGATAAGAGGGGTATGAAATAGCTTACGAGGTATGTAACGATCCCACGTGGTAATGATTACCACATCGGGTGGGCGACAATTGACTCCCCGACAATTGACCCCCCGACAATTGACCCCCCGACAATTGACCCCCGACAATTTACCCCCCGACAATTAACCCCCCGACAATCGACCCCCCGACAATTGACCCCCCGACAATTGACCCCCCGACAATTGACCCCCCGACAATTGACCCCCCGACAATTGACCCTCTTACAATTGACCCCCAAAAATATAATTTAATACAACCCTGACCCTGACCCTGACCCTGACCCTGACCCTGACCCTGACCCTGACCCTGACCCTGACCCTGACCCCAACCCTAACCCTAACCCTGACCCTAACCCTGACCCTAACCAGATTAATTTACCCCAGTTTAATTACATTTGTCGGGGGGTCAATTTTCGTACTAAGCCCTAGATTTCGCGACAATTGACCCCAGTGTAATTACATAGGGGGTCAATTGTCGGGGGGTTAATTGTCGGGGGTTCAATTGTCGGGGGTCAATTTTCGTACTAAACCCAACCCTAGATTTCGCGACAATTGACCCCAGTGTAATTACATAGGGGGTCAATTGTCGGGGGGTCAATTGTCGCGGTACCACCACATCATGGGGTGTGATGGGGGTTTAGAGAAGGCATCACTAGAGTCATAATTTGTGAACCCCCACCAAATTTAAAATCTTAAGAACTACGAATAAGTTAGCCCGTTCCTAGTCGCGTATTATAGTCCGTTGCAACCCCTTTAAAAGTTACTGATTTATCCCATTGAATAACACCTATTAATAAACGATGATCCCCGTCCAGCCACAATTTGGTTAGTTAAAATCAGTATTTTAGAGAGGTATTAGAAAATCCTAATTATACACATGACTGAGCCCCCGGCCGACTGTATAATGACAGTCACTGAGTCACCAAAGATAAGGTTGGTGATAGCTCATATGTTACGTTACTAGTAACTAGTAACTTAGGGCAAGTGGTTTTGGGAATACTAATACGCTAGCGTGATTTGTAATAGTGATTGCGGAAGGGGAAAGGGCTTAAAAATTTTCAAATTTCTGTCTTATGCAATATGTGAACGGTCCCGTCAATAGTACATATGTGCATACTATCATCAGAACATATTCGATTTTATGTAAGAAGCGGTCCATACAACTCAACAACAAACATCCTCTCAGGATTTGCTCGACACCCCCAATATAAGAGACCCAGCTCAAGCAGAAGCCTACACCATCTTCACCCAGAACCGAGCAGAGTATGATAAGAGGGTCAGACAGCAAGCTGCCAAATTCACTCCTCGTTAAGTTCTCTCTCTCTCCAACGCCATCCTCAAATTCTCTCGCCTATACTCATTGCAAGTGGACGGAAGGAAGCGATTCCTTGTTTCAAATCTTCTTGAGCACGAAAGTTTCGGACTTGGAGAATGGAGACATGACTCCACTCAACATAGGACTGGAGTCGAGACTAACTTAATTTTAAATTCATACCCTGAGTTGGATGTGTCAGAGATTAACGTTTGCTGTGAGCTCCTTGCTTTTTATAAATTAACATTTTGATTTGCCATCGTAATAAAATATTTTAAACAAAGTCAGTATTTATTTTTGAATCTCAATCTCGAATTGATTAAATTAAGTTCACCTATGAGAATAATTTGCTAAATTAGCGATTGGCAATGCAATAATAGTCATCTTGTCCTTGATTTATCATAGCTTTTCTACATTAGCAATGGTGCTGCCATCTAAATACATTTTTAACTTGGTAACCTTGAAAGATTTTTCATCCAAACCGCCCCTTTTGATTCATTATTGGTTATTCGAAAGAAATTTCGGACGTTTTTTCCTCACACGCCTAGCTGTGCGTCTGTGACAAAGTGGTAGGTGCTACTGTAAGCATAAGGAGGATACTGATAATGTGGCCTACAATTTGTCTGCTGCATCGTGTTCCATTCCCCGCTGCCAACATCTGCTTTACGGAAAATTTAAGAGATTGAACGTAGGGATACCTTGTATGTTAGCAATAGATATTTTCTTATTTTATTGCCAAGTTTTAACTGAATGCTTTTTGATTCTTCGTAAACAAACCCAATGTGCGAAATATTAGTCCAAATAATACCAAATCTTGTCAATAAATTCAAAATTAAATAAATTCAAATTGAAACTAACAATCAAACAGAAACATAAATCTGGGGTGCCGTTGTAAACACAATTTTCTCAGATTAAAGCACGACATGTGACGTCACTACCCTAACTAACTGCTCGATTAGCTCAATTTAAACAAAACAGTAAGATTTCTAATTTCTCAGACGTGCACAGATAACAGCTGTTCTGGCCGGCTCTGTATCCGTGTCCACGTCTGATTATTGTCCATTCGATCCTGAATTCTAACTTACGGTCTTTGAAGGACCAGATCTTCTCTGACAGGTCGGTTCTATTTCGGTACCGCTTCAGGTTGTAGCGCGATGTACTACTGGGTCGCGCCGCGCATCAAATAATTCTTCTCGCAACCACAGATGCAGATCGGCGAGATGCGAAGGATTGACATCGTGAATCAACGCTTCAGGCGAAATGATGACATTTAAATGTTAGAGAGTCAGGCAGCTAATAATAACTGCTTGTACTTGTAGGTTTATAACCTACCAAGACGCGCGCCGAGTTGGACTTGGACTCGTCGACGGTCACTAATATTTGGAGCAAATATTTTACGAGTATCACCCGTAATATGGTTAACTAACTGCCAAATCCACTCCTCGTGGCCTACAATTTGTCTGCAGCAGCGTGTTCCATTCCCCGCTGCCAACATCTGCTTTACGGAAAATTTAAGAGATTGAACGTAGGGATACCTTATATATAGGGGGGGGGGGGGGGTGTCATGTCCGTCTATGTCCGCCTATGTCCTGTCCTTTTTGGATTCTATGAGACAACGGACGTGTTTTTTGGGACATTGGCGGACACGGACGGACATTGGCGGACTCGGACGGACATTGGCGGACTCGGACGGACATTGGCGGACCCGGACGGACATTGGCGGACTTGGATGGACATTGGTGGACATTAGCGGACATTGGTGAATATTAGCGGAAAAACATTTTGAGGACTGAAGAGTACTGAAGAGTACTGAGGAGGATGGCTGAGAAGGATGGCTGAGGAGGATGGCTGAGGAGGATGACTGAGGAGGATGACTGAGGAGGATGACTGAGAGGGAGGAGAAGGATCAGGAAGACCCAGGAGGAGGAGGAGGAGGAGGACCCAGAAGGAGGACCTAGGAGGAGGAGGAGGAGAACTGAGGAGGAGAACTGAGGAGGATGACTCAGGAGGAGGAGGACTCAGGAGGAGGACTGAGGAGGATGGCTGAGGAGGATGGCTGAGGAGGATGACTGAGAGGGAGGAGGAGGAGGAAGAGGAGGAAGAGGACTGAGGAGGAGGAGGAGAAGGACTGAGGAGGAGAAGGAGGACCCAGGAGGAGGAGGACCCAGGAGGAGGACCCAGGAAAAGGCCCCAGGAGGAGGAGGAGGACTGGGGAGGAGGAGAACTGTTGAGGACTGATGAGGAGGACTGAGGACGAGGAGGAAGAGTAGGAGGAGGACTGAGGAGGGGAGGAGGGAGAGGACTGGGGAGGATCAGGAACACCCAGGAGGACCCAGGAGGAGGAGGAGGAGGAGGACCCAGGAGGAGGAGGAGGACTGAGGAGGAGGACTGACGATGACTGAGAAGGAGGAGGACTGAGGAGTACTGATGAGGATGGCTGAGGAGGATGGCTGGGGAGGATGGCTGTGGAGGATGACTGAGGAGGATGACTGAGAGGGAGGAGGAGGAGGACTCAGGAGGAGGACTCAGGAGGAAGAGGAGGAGGATGAAGAGGAGGAGGAGGACCCAGGAGGAGGAGGACTAAGGAGGAGGACTGAGGAGGACTGAGGAGGATGGCTGAGGAGGATGACTGAGAGGGAAGAGGAGGAGGAGGAGGAGGACTGAGGAGGACTGAGAAGGAGGAGGAGGAGGAGGACTGAATAGGAGGAGGAGGAGGGGGACTGGGGGAGGACTGAGGAGGAGGATGGAGGACTGAGGAGAAGGATGAGGAGGAGGACTGAGGAGGACTGAGGACTGAGGAGGAAGAGGAGGAGGATGAAGAGGAGGAGGAGGACCCAGGAGGAGGACCCAGGAGGAGGACTCAGGAGGAGGAGGAGGACTGGGGAGGAGGAGGACTGTTGAGGACTGATGAGGAGGACTGAGGACGAGGAGGAGTCAGGAGGAGTAGGAGGAGGACTGAGGAGGGGAGGAGGAAGAGGACTGAGGAAGATCAGGAAGACCCAGGGGGAGGAGGAGGAAGAGTAGGAGGAGGAAGCATTTAAATGTTATTTCCATTTTTGTCCGTTTTTGTCCGCTCTATTTTTTGTCCGTTTTGAAAATATAGGGTACCGAACGGACAAAAAACATGATCCCCCTATAACAGCAAAAATTGAACATTTTATTTAGCAATTTAGGTGTCCAGGCCATTAATGTCCGCCTATGTCCGTCTATGTCCGCCTATGTCCGCCTATGTCCGCCTATGTCCGTCTATGTCCGCCTATGTCCGCCTATGTCCTGTCCTTTTTGGATTCTATGAGACAAGCGGACATAGACGGACGTGACACCCCCCCCCCCTATATATATATAATTATATATGTTAACAATAGATATTTTCATGTTTTATTTCTAAGCTTTAACTAAATGCTTTTTGATTCTTCGTAAACAAACCCAATGTGCGAAATGTGAGTCCAAATAATACCACATCTTGTCATAAAATCAAAAATAAATAAATTCAAATTGGAACTTACAATCAAACAGAAACATAAATTGGGGGTGCCGTAGTAAACACAATTTTCTCAGATTAAAGCACGACATGTGACGTCACTACCCTAACTAACTGCTCGATTAGCTCAATTTGAACTTACAATGCGATAAACAAAACAGATCCCAGAATGTCTAATTCTAAAGTGAATAATGATTGTCCCGCCGTGCACTGCACTGAGCGGGCATTATTACATAATAAACCCTGAATATCAAATTTATTAATCTACATAGAATTATTATACAGATCGACATTGCGAAGAGCTCACCATGCTCTATTATTTTATAGATTTTATAGATTATCAAGTTCCTCATTTAAAGAAATCAGAACACTTCGCTTTAAACTTAGCATGACCCACAAAAGTTAACTCTGTAAATCGTAAAAGGATGGCCTATCAAGAACGGTAACCCAACTACCAATGTGATACAGTAATAGTTTCAACTAAATTCGTAAAAATAGGGCAAATTGAGATGCTTACCGTAATTTAAGTTATTTAGTGATCCAAAGAGATAGTCTATTTAACTATTCAAGTATGATAAACTATAACATTCTTCTGAAAAAGAAAATCACGCTCAAACTAATCTGTTTTATTCAGGAATACAGTCTTCGGTTTAACAAACAAATGCGTTTCGGGGGCTTAGAATGCACTAATAGATAAAAGCTGTGATTTAGATTTTGGCCATTTCGGCGGAGAGCCAGTCCAATCCCTCGTAGAGACCGTCACCAGATGTTGCGCAGGTCGCTTGGGTGTGCCACTGAAATAATAAGGAATGAGTTAAAGTTAAATATACCATGTATACGGGCTTGTTTTAAATTTGCAAACTACCATAACATCGGTACAAATATTTCTTGGGGCCAATAGGACAAAACTTGATGCCTTAAATTCGACTGAAATGATTTAACGTTATCTAGAGACCCGACTGTTGAGATCATTAAAAGTTTGAAGACGATCAAGTCTGAGTTAAACGTATTGAAATAGTGTCCTACCTGTCTGTTCTTCATTCCCTGGAGACCGAGTGCGTCAGCCACATCGGCAACAGAACAAGCTGAGGGAAGATCCTGTTTGTTGGCGAACACGAGAAGGATAGCGTCTCTCAGCTCATCTTCTTGGGTCATTCGTTCTAACTCCTCCCGAGCCTCTATTAAACGTTCTTTGTCGTTGCTGTCCACTACGAAGATGATTCCCTGGTGGGGTCAATGTGAGGAACTTTTTATTTTAAAAGGGAGGCTACATAGGAGGGTGCTATGAGATCACACCTCTATTATTCTTAATAGTTCGATGCGATCGATATTTGGACACAGTTTGTGGACTTCTTCAGCACTTTCACAAAATACGAGACTTTTCAGTCGCAAGAGGCAATCAACGGTGAGTTCTATTAAGTATAACCTAATATGATTACGTGTACAGTTTCTATGTGGCATTGTTGTTTTAATGTACAGCTATTCAATCAACACAAACGTCTCAATAGACTCACGTGCGCGCGCTGACGCCTGTTATACAAAACGCCGTTTACATGCACTTTTCACAGATATCAGCAAAAAAGCACACCGTTTCAGCGTTCTACACTGACGCGCGCAGCGCTCCTGCACATTGATTTCTACAGCCTACATGAATTGGTACACTAGATGTCAGCCTTTCACTTCCGCCGAAATAAATACACATTTCCTTATCTACCCTTATCTATAATCTACTCTGCCTACTTGTATCGTATTCTGCACTATAAAAAACAAATCAACAACAAGCAAGCTATGACAATTATGAATAACATGAGAATTTAATAGAATGTAACCTTACGTATCGTAACTACGCACATAAATAATAATAACTAATGGGGATTAAGACGTTTGAACCTTTAAAATGTTCGCTATATTCGGGAAAAAAGCTAATAGTTTTCGGTATCAGTGATTTGAAAATTTTAAGTATTTAAGTACGCCACATTTCAACAAAATAACGCAAAACTTCTTCCTAAAACGTTACCTGAGTGTTTGTATAATAATGTCTCCAGAGAGGTCTGATCTTGTCTTGACCGCCGACATCCCACACTGTAAAACTGATGTTCTTATACTCCACGGTCTCTACATTGAAACCAATGGTGGGTATCGTGGTCACTACTTCTCCGAGTTTCAGCTTGTATAGGATCGTAGTCTTACCTGCTGCATCTAACCCCACTGAAAAGTGAAATTATCGTGTAAGGTTACAGATGATCTGTTTATAGGCTTAGGTTATTTTTGTAGGCAAAGGGTTAAAATGTAGGATTGAAATTTAACGAAATTATTTGTTACACAATATGATCTGATTAAACAGTGTAAAACTGAAAATATAAACATACCCATGAGGATTCTCATGGCCTTCTTTCCGAAGAGCTTGTTAAATACTGTTGACAATGTAAGCCCCATCGCTAGAAAAGAGTATTTGTTCAATTTAGATAATCAATTTAATTCTACTACTGGTGTAAAAAGAATGTTAGAATGATACGTTCCCCACTTTAACTAGGTGCTTCTGCATGCTTTTATGGCAACAAAACATCAACAACCTAGTAACATAAAACATGTTCTCAGCGGTCAAACCAGTTGGTAATGTACTATCTTAGTCATTATCATTGGTCAACAATCAACATAAGTTGAAATTGAAATAGAAATTGGTAAATTTGTTTGACCACTCCCACACGTAAAATCGTTACAACAGGTGAAACAAAGAGGGTGACCTATATGTGATATCATTGGTGGATCAATTGGCCGGTAGATAGATGGATAAAAAGGGCTATTAAAAAGTGCCATATGTATTCAATATTAGTTGCCGATACTTTCTGTTATCTAGATATTTTCAAATTGATAAGAAGACATACCAATCTTATCTGTAAAGGAGAATGCCATTAAATTGTATTGATCGCGGATGACACTTTTCAACAGCCCTTTCGATCCATGTCTACATTTTAATAATATACCAATTCCATCAAAAGTAGATGATTATAAGAAGCAGTAAAACAGCACTGTAAACAAATTCACACATTTAATTATAATTTCAAGTGGATCAAGCCATTGATAAAACCGTACAATTCACGAACAATTGAATTATATCGAATTGATAGCTGAATTAATGGTCAATTTGCTTCATCATGATCCCAATTCTCTACAAAATAGCACAACTTACGAAAACAACGTTTTGTTCGAATGAACGATGAATATTTAAAACACACCTAACATCTTTTGACAATAAAAGGACTTGCAGTGGTATAACTAACTCGGTAAAATCAGATGTTTCACGTTTAAAAAACGTGAAATCGGGTTTTGCGCATGTGTGTTAAATGAATGCAATATAAAAATCACTCGCATCGAATATTAAAACAAAAATTAAAACTAGTTAACACAACAAATGGACACTTATAATTTCATATTCTACATAATATGTGCCTCAAAACTTGTCTGACTGATCACTTAACCCCTTCCTAATGTACTTGCCTCTGTACTATATCCTCAGCATCACTAATATAACATATATCACCAATATCGTCACTTGAAATCGAGTAATGGAAATAAAATCATACTAAATGTTCTCAAAAAAGGTTTAAACTTGTGTACAAAATACGTTTTACTTATGTATTACGAAACTAGCAGCAGTTATGAAACATAATATCATAAGAACATTCCAAGCTGAATTCTACAGAAATGGTAGCTAGTAGGATTAAAGGATATTGAATACACCGCCTACTATTTCTACTCTTTAGTGCTTCTCGTCGTTAAACACTAAACAACTCAATGTCAGATCACAGTATTATGTTATGCGGTTATATATATTTTAACAAAAGTACAGGTTTTGCGTATAAAAAGCGTAAAATGCATTATTTTCACATTGAGTCTCTCCTCGAGGCGGGAGAGTTTTCAAGTCACTTCATTGGTCGAGACACTACTAAGTAAACAACATTGGAAGTACATGTTCTGCTACATAACTCATACATTGTACACTTTATACACGTGTACATTGTATAAACACGTGTATAGTGTATGAAGTGTTGAAGTTGAACATGGTATTTGTACATGGTTTACTGCGCAGACTTCTTGTTCTTCTCCGCCAATGCGGTCGCGAGTTGTCTGTTGACTTTGTCCATCTTCTCCTTTCCTTTCAGGCTGTAATATGGGGAATGGAATTTACTAAATATCATTAAATTACCACTAACAATTAGTGATGTTTCGATTTAAAAAACCAGATAAATGCAACCATATAAAAACTATGATTAACATATGATGTTTGTTCTTTATCTGTTGGAATGTTTACAAGAAGCATGTGTCAAAACAAATATGGTCTAGTTCCAAATATAACCAGTGCGTTATTCAGATATAATGATCATAATATGTAAGGAACTTTAACTAAGAAGACCTCCAATCTTATCAATGTTTAATCTACAAATATTAACAACTTTATATGCTGACTTAACTAGCCCGACTCAAACCAGGTACGTGACTAGACTTTAGTACCCAAACCAGGTACGTGACTAGACTTTAGTACCCAAACCAGGTACGTGACTAGACTTTAGTACCCAAACCAGGTACGTGACTAGACTTTAATACCCAAACCAGGTACGTGACTAGACTTTAGTACCCAAACCAGGTACGTGACTAGACTTTAGTACCCAAACCAGGTACGCGTACGTGACTACTGACTAGACTTTAGTACCCAAACCAGGTACGTGACTAGACTTTAGTACCCAAACCAGGTACGTGACTAGACTTTAGTACCCAAACCAGGTACGTGACTAGACTTTAGTACCCAAACCAGGTACGTGACTAGACTTTAGTACCCAAACCAGGTACGTGACTAGACTTTAGTACCCAAACCAGGTACGTGACTAGACTTTAGTACCCAAACCAGGTACGTGACTAGACTTTAGTACCCAAACCAGGTACGTGACTAGACTTTAGTACTCAAACCAGGTACGTGACTAGACTTTAGTACCCAAACCAGGTACGTGACTAGACTTTAGTACCCAAACCAGGTACGTGACTAGACTTTAGTACCCAAACCAGGTACGTGACTAGACTTTAGTACTCAAACCAGGTACGTGACTAGACTTTAGTACCCAAACCAGGTACGTGACTAGACTTTAGTACACAAACCAGGTACGTGACTACTGACTAGACTAGTTTGGTAACTATGGTAACTATGGTAAATGTGGTACTTAAATGCATTACTCACTCGACAAGAGATCTGGTCTCGTTCATGATGTCACGTGTCCTACCGAAGTAGATAGTATCCAACGTGCTTCTGATACTGTTCTCCATCTTCTCCACCATCTGGCCGATATTCACTATGTGGGATGACATGTCCGTCACTGGCGCGTCTTTCTCTGCCTGTAGATATTGTAGATTTGATATAATTGGTTTGTTAATTGAACAATTAAGTGATTACATATTGTATGAAACTGTAAATGCTCCATCTTCGCATTTCAATAGCATTACTCATAAAATAATGGATGTAAGGGCATGTAATCTTACATTAATTCTGTCTTTTAAATCCTCCTTTATTCAAAATAGAAATAGAGATTCGATCAACAACTAGTGTCTATAGATCATAGTGATCTTATGACAAAGTTATGCTAATTTTAAAGTTTAACTACGTAATATAATTACTATTAGTATATTTGCTCATCTAGTTTTCAGAGCCCTCACATAACATTGAAGCATAAAACGCAGATGAATATTGAGAAACATTACTCCTGATGAACTAATATATATATGTAGCACTACTGCTACATGATATAATCAGGGGGTATGTGTGTACAGTGCACAGGCTCCTTTTATCAGATTATAGCTGATCTGAGTGAGTGTGAGTGTGAGCGTGTGATCTGAGTGTGATCTGAGTGTGATCTGAGTGAGTGTGAGTGTAAGCGTGTGATCTGAGTGTGATCTGAGTGAGTGTGAGTGTAAGAGTGTGATCTGTGTGTGAGTGTCTGAGTGTGATCTGTGTGAGTGTGCGTGTAAGAGTGTGATCTGAGTGTGAGTGTGAGTGTGAGCGTGTGATCTGAGTGTGAGTGTAAGCGTGTGATCTGAGTGAACTTGTGTTAAAAATGTCAGATGCTTTCTGATCAGTGTTCGGACTAGAGTTAGAACAATATGCTACTGGACCTTACCCGGACAAGAGTCTGATCAGAACACATCAGAAATGTCGCATATTCAATGCGACTAAATAACACAACTAAATGAGTGTATATGATATACTCAATAGTCCAGTGTACACTGTACATCTGGTCAGGTGATGTGTATCTCCATGTTTACTGCTAATAGGACACGTAATGTTGTAACTTGCGACATTGGTGGAAGTATTTCCTGCAACGTAGAGAAGAGAAAAGAGATCCTTATTAGGAAAGTGTAGATTGGAGTAGAGAGAGCATATTGCTTAATAAACCAATAACTAGTCAGGCGGCTAACTGGTAGCTGGACACTGGACAGGTTGTTTTACACATGGATTTAAAATTCGAAACCATCCTTTTAATGAAATACAATACCCAGGTTTCTCGTTACATTCCAGATCACATTTAGTGGTGAAGCAGGAATGTGTGACTTGTTTGTAATGACAAATCTTACCAGTGTCTTTTACAGCAGTCTCTCTGAATTGTAATGTTTAATAGGGAGCATCACGGCTCTCGACAAAAGGCCACTCATTGGCCTTTTATATTACTAAGATTGCTGATTATGAATTACAAGGGTCTTGGCTGGCCCCCAACTTTGCTAAACATACACGGTAGTTTGAAATGATATGCTGAGCTCTAAAAGTGCCAAAATGTCGATTATTTCATTTAGTTTTCATCAGTCATTTGCCTTGTTTCACTTTGAGTGTCGAGAGCCGTGATGCTCCCTACTGAACACTACAATGTTAAAAACTCATCTCGATATCTACATAATATATTCTATAATAAAGTTTAGGTTAAGATAACGACCAATAAACACTAGTTTGCAGTGACAAATCTTACCTCCTTAAAATTAGTAACTCTGAACTGCAAACCCTCACAAACGTCTAAATAAGGTAAATATAACACACAACTCAACATTACATCACTAATAATTTTAAATGTGTTTATATGATTTCCAACATGTCACACACCCCTGGTAAGAACTCACTGTAATTAGATATAAGCTCTGAATCGCATACGTTACGGAGGGGTTGTGACGTTGTGGGCTACTTCCTCACTGTGCAACATGGAGGGGTTGTGACGTTGTGAGCTACTTCCTAACTGTGCAACATGGAGGAGTTGTGACGTTGTGGACTACTTCCTAACTGTGCAACATGGAGGGGTTGTGACGTTGTGGGCTACTTCCTAACTGTGCAACATGGAGGGGTTGTGACGTTGTGGGCTACTTCCTAACTGTGCAACATGGAGGGGTTGTGACGTTGTGGGCTACTTCCTAACTGTGCAACATGGAGGGGTTGTGACGTTGTGGGCTACTTCCTAACTGTGCAACATGGAGGGGTTGTGACGTTGTGGGCTACTTCCTAACTGTGCAACATGGAGGGGATGTGACGTTCGCGTTGTGGGCTACTTCCTAACTGTGCAACATGGAGGGGTTGTGACGTTGTGGGCTACTTCCTAACTGTGCAACATGGAGGGGTTGTGACGTTGTGGGCTACTTCCTAACTGTGCAACATGGAGGGGTTGTGACGTTGTGGGCTACTTCCTAACTGTGCAACATGGAGGGGTTGTGACGTTGTGGGCTACTTCCTAACTGTGCAACATGGAGGGGTTGTGACGTTGTGGGCTACTTCCTAACTGTGCAACATGGAGGGGTTGTGACGTTGTGGGCTACTTCCTAACTGTGCAACATGGTCAAGTAACACGGTATGCACCTTTAGTATAACCAAATTAGATACAAAATCTGGGCTAAAGCCCAAAATTAAGTGAACAAAAAATGAGATCACATATTAATGAATCCTTTTAAGGTGCTTCCCGATCACTTAATCTTATTTAGATTCATTACGTAATTATACATGTTTCTTTATCGGTCGAGACTCGATTGAAAGGTTGGTCGAAAAGCCAGTTGAAAAGACGATTGAACGATACCATGTTTGGTGAATACTTTCTGTAGATTCTCACTAGAGAGACATGATAATTACTTGGGCTGTATTTAAACCTGGACGTGTCACATGGGTAGGGGAAATCTCTAGTTATTGACCAAATATGGTAATGTCCAATCGTATTTTGAGTTTTTAACCAATCTTCCGATCGGCCGATGATGTCTTGAATATATTGGTTACAATTAACCATGAGAACAACATCTTCAGGTGGCCTAGTGCAAGTGGTTAGAGCATCCGCCTTCTGCGCAGAAGGTTCAGGGTTTGAATCCCAGTGTCACCTAGTCTAGGGAGTAGCTAAGGATCCATTGGATCTATGCGATCTCCTCGGTCGACTCAGCCGAATGATAGGAAATTTAATTGAGGGTTAAATGAGGAGGGGTACTGTTAAAAGGGGTACCTGTTAAAAGTTCAAGAAACTTCCTAGGATTCCCCTTCAGTGCATAATGTAAACATAGTACTATTAACTATTATTAACTATTAACTATTCAACACGACGATAACTTTGTTCCTCGAATAATTTGAAGAAACTAAAGTTGAGTACGCTTAAGTAAAGCCAACATAACGTGAAAGCGACAGCAAATCAATAAGTAACCGGAGAATTTGGTACGTGATATCGCATATCACATTATGATGGATATTACATGTTGAGTTAGAATGGATATATTCCATCAGAAAATATTAATTAAATCTGCCTGTTTTTACAAGCTCTAATGATGTAGTTTTACGAAGATTTCAAGCCACGTTGTGTGTTTCCCTTCTTGTCCAAAAGCATTGTATTAATTAAATCTAAGGGGTTTGGTAGGAATATAAATTTATAAGAGACATATAACTTACTAATAATATTCTGTGGTATGAGGTATTATTTAGGGTCAGATTGAAAGTTCTTACAAGGCAAATCTGGTTCCAGGTACTTATAACCGTTTAAGGTATCCAATTTCAAGTTTCAATTACTTTGAGGGCAAATGACTGTTATTTGGTAAAATAAAATTCTACTGACTGTTTTAAAACACTGAATGGTACGTGTTTTCATGCAATCAACTACTTCTTTTTTTACTTTTACTTCTACCGTAAATTCTACTTTTACTTCTACAGTTCTACTGATACTTCTACTGTTACTTAACTTTCGTGATCAAGAAAACTAAAAAACTATTACACTAAAAACTATCACCTGCACCCTTTGAAAATGAATGCCAAAATGAATGTCCATACTAGACACTAGTAAATTGCATGTGCACCTTGTACACTGTACAGTGTATACATAGGTTGTACACCTAGCTTAGGTTGTACAGTGTAAACTGAGTCACTGAACACCTAGCTTAGGTTACACTGTTAGTGTTATCAACATTAACATATGTTTTACATACACTGTATTAACAGTATATACAATATACATTAACAACACTGTTATCTATACATTACCTGTCTTGATAAGGAGCCCCCTAGGTCCATAGTGCCGGACTCAGGTCGAGAATTGTGAAGCCACAACATCACAGTGGATATCAGTTTGTAGTGTGCATTTCTACCTGCGCCCTGAAATACATTAGATACTAAATACATCTGGTCAGATAACGTAATACCTACTCACTCTTATCAAGGTGACTTTATAATATCGGTGATGTATACAAACATACACTTGTACTTTGTAGCTGCAATTGTAAAATGTGTATACTGCAGTAATGTTTTATTATGTCACATAATATTATACAAACATTAACAGTTCACTATCTTGGGTCTTGATGTGAATTCCACACGTTTTTTAGTGTAACTGTAGTACATTCATGAATTATGTTAATGTTATGAATTAAGCTAATGTTAATTATTTTATGCGTTAAATGGAATATGTTAAGCATTACAAATAATCTTACTTGCAATATATATATGTTAAACAAGACTTAAAGACTGAAAAAAACATGTGAAATGTATTAATATTATATGAGCAGATCTGAGATCATACACGATAAAGATTGCATCACACAATCCCCACAATAATTATTTTATTTTTATCATTTAATACTTTTTGAAAGAATTCTAAAGAATCTACAACGTTCTGAAGAATTAAAGATCATACAAAAACAGCGCAATAATGGGAGCACGTGACTATTTACCTTCTCTTGGACCTCCACAACGTGGATAGAGTCCCAGGCTCCCTTGAACTTCTTACTTCCGTCACCCGTCTTCTTTATCAATATTGCACCTGCGATTTATATATTATGCACATAAAAGAGTGAACACTTAATAAACGATGACAACATAGAATGATTTTGTCTTCTTTATCAAAACAGCCCCTGCCATTGAAGACATAATAAAGAGTGACCTTGATAAATATAATATGATGACCTAACTTTATTCTGGAGAATTAATCCTATTACATGATGTAATACGTGTTATAATGCACATGAGATCCATGAGTCACTATCATATATATATTCATATTGATACATAAATCTCATAATAATAATAAACAAAAACAATAAACTTGACAACTTTAAAGAGAAGTCAGAGTCCCAACCTGCGAATCCGCCGTTGTCCTGGTCCCAGAAGTAACAGCTGCTGATACCACCCTCGAAATACTGCTCTCTGTACATGTCAAAAGCAAAGTTAGCGTCAACCTGAGAAAAAGCACTGATTCAAATTCTTTTCATAAATCTGGGCATTCCATAACTTGTTGTATTGATATAATATAATGTACAGAAGTAATGTATGAGGGTCATTCTAAACGCTACGCCACTGAGTTATAAGCAACATAATAAAAACACAATATTATCAACTCTATTCATGACCACGTGACTATATCTTACCTCTAGTCATGACCACGTGACTATCTCTTACCTCTATTCATGACCACGTGACTATATCTCACCTCTATTCATGACCACGTGACTATCTCTTACCTCTATTCATGACCACGTGACTATATCTCACCTCTATTCATGACCACGTGACTATATTATATATCTCACCTCTATTCATGACCACGTGACTATATCTCACCTCTATTCATGACCACGTGACTATATCTTACCTCTATTCATGACCACGTGACTATATCTTACCTCTATTCATGACCACGTGACTATATCTTACCTCTATTCATGACCACGTGACTATATCTTACCTCGAATTTCCTCGTCTTATCACTTGGGATACTGCCGTCCTCAATTGGAGGCTCATACTCATTACTCCAGGGTGATCTATAGGAATCACCATCCCGGTTATAGTCGCAAAGCAGGTAGTCTTTACCCTGAAAAACAACTTCGTTAAAAAGATATTTTTCAAAGTTAAGATGAAGAAGTATTGCACCAGAAACTAAGATTATAAATTCAAGGTATATGATTGCAACTGGGAATGTCTATGAATTTATGAATTAGCAATTGACACATGTACATTATATCAAATAATATTTTGTAATACATTGATGTAAAATGTGTTTGAAATTTGAAATAAAAAATAGTATTTCACACAGACGTGATAATCAAAAGTCTACTCACTGTTTTTTTACATTTAGATATTTTAAGTGGTTGGTCGACAGAAGCGAGTAAGTCTTCGCACAGATCAGGAACTAAGTCGATCAAATCAGAAAGGTTCTTTTCAATGTTTTGCGGAGGAAGCCTCCTCATCAGGTCAAGAGCACAGTCAAGTTGTTGTCCATTCATGGCGTGCGTGCTAGAAATATAGAATATCAAACATTGTTCTAAATTGATAGTGTCTGGGATTTATAGAAATCATTCCACCATCATCATGAAAAGTGACAAATTGGAAAGAAAGTCCTTAATACGAAGCCTGGAGTTGACTTCATAGTGGACTGATTGATAATTTAGGTATTAATAAATAACAGGTCTTAAAATATAGAAATATAAAACAACCCACATGCACAGTTACATACAACCAATCAAAAAATCATAGAACTCAATCTTTAACTGAAAAGTTTAAATACCATCCATAAATAAACAGAGATTAAAAAGTATTCAAATACATTATACATGTTAAAAACCTAATTTATATAGCTGATTCATTGACAATTATCTTTTAACCGCTTCAAAAATGTTTGAAAATTAACAGGAAAATTTCATTTTAACTAAATTTATATTTTACCAAAATGAATGAAAGTATACCAAATACCAATTTTGACACAAATTTCATCTTAAGAAAGTTATCTTTTCGAATATATGATACACAACTTAAACATTTGAAAACATTTCACTGATTGAAGAACTTCTGATTTGGAAAGAAGTTTTAGAGATATTAGCTGAGCAGCCTCACTTTTAGAGTTCAGAGCCAAAAGATAAAAATGTAACATCTTTCCTTTGTGGATACTTGTATCTTTCTTTCGAGGTTTCACATTAACACTTAAATCACTCTCAGATTTATTAAGGCTGATTTGAATGTCTAAAATATGATTTTCAGTCTGGCAATTGGGCATTTGACACTGATTTTCAAAGAATCCAGAAAGAATGGTTCCATTGTGACTTATTGAGTGTTCAAGTGATTTTCGGTCTAGAGACATAGTGGCAGAAAACGAATTCTTATCACCCTTTTTCGAAGTGATAGGAACAGATGGAACAGATAGGAACAGATGTTGGTAATGCTGATGTTGGTAACGCTGTGGTAACACTGTGTTAAAAACTTTTTTAACATCTTTCACAAAGTCGGCGGATATGAGACTGTGGCCAAATGCAGTTATGAAGGACTGATAGATTTGGTGCGTTAGTGATATTTTGCCAAAACGCACTAATGAAAAGAACAAATCAATACAAAGATACACAAAATCTGATTTTGTGGTCAAGATATTGTAAATAGGGTTTTCTTTTGGATCTTTTGACTGATTGCTGTATCCTGTCTTAATGAATTTTGAGAGCTCTGGAAATGAAAATGCTTTCCAGCTTCTGCTTTGAAAAACCTCCATGCATTCCATACTTTGCTCTACATTAGCTTCTGAGGAATTACCCACACACAAATTATCTTGACTGACTCCCTTTTTTGAGCTACCAACAGTACATTTATCACTTATCAAAGACGACTGAGATTTTGATTTTAATGACTGTTGGTGGTACACAACTTTTAAGACAAAGTTTGGGTATTGGTTGCACACCTGGATAATCTCAGCTTTGGTCAAAACCTTTAAAGAGATAATCATCTTAACGAATAAGTCTTTGTTGAGCCCAAGTAAATAAACATGAATGATTTTGGTTGGATGAATTTCGTGGGAGGAACTATTTGGTAATACTGATGCAAAATCATTCCTTGTTTTCTTGAGTAACACAAAGAGATGCAGTTTATGGCTTTCAAGTTTACATGATCCTAATTTGCAGCCTACTTCTTGTAGGCCAATGCTCCCATTATCCTTTATCCGAGTCTGAACATAGCTCTTTGGCATGATCTTAGAAGAGACACAAAAGGTTTGATCATGTAGGTTCTTACAGTCAATAACACGACTGGAATTCCCAACATTCGAGAGTACCTCTTTCATATCCAGCAAGTATTCTCTTGCTAAAATTGTATTATTGAAACTGGAGCAGAATGTTGAATAACTATTGTCATTTATATTATAATTCTTCAAGAGCACCCATGTTAAAGCAAGGTCTATTTTTACATAATTTTTTATATCATCTTGTTGTTGAACAGTTTTTACTAACTCAATAACATCAGCAAAACAAAGTGATAGCAGGGCTTTGCGTTCTCCAGTCTCAAGTTTTGAAAAATCTCTACCTTGGAGAACATCAGAAGTAAGGTCACTTTTACTGTTGAAAGATGAAACTGATGTAAGTCTATCACAAGAAGAACTAGCTTTTGAACAAGAATCAAAGTTCTGAAGTGGTTCTTTATCATGCAGGTTTTTATTACAATTATTAACTTCAATATAGTATTCCTGACTTGATACATCTGTGGCCACACTTGAAGACCTGGTCAGTTTTTCAATATTAAATTCTGTTCTGTTGGATTGAGACTCTTTTACTGCAGTCTCTGAATCGATCATGTCATTACTCTTCATCGACGAATCATTAGAATCAGAATCATCATTATGATTTTCATTAGCTCTTGATGGTGCAGTGAAAGGTAAAGAATACTTATTCTTGATTAAGTTCAGTTGGATAGCATCTGATGGCTCTGTTATTTTCTTGGTCATTTCAGTATAAAACATATCAAGCATATCTTGACAAGGCAGCATTGCTGAAATCGAGAATGTGTCATGAATATTACTTTCTGATCGAATTATCTTCAAGATGGTGGGAAAAGCTTTGGGTGATGTCATAAGCTTAATAACATTCACAGAATTCTTAATGATAAGATCTTTGTACCGGATATCTCTTCCATTAGAAGACCACTCTGACAACAATTCTATGTACTTTTCAACAGGGTTTAAATGTTCTATAAACGTTTGCTCACACTGTTCTTGCAGTGACTTTATCTTGTAGAAAGTTGCAAAATGATAAAACTTAGGAATTTTATTAAGACTGATATTCACAGTATCCCCATACAAATAGAGCAAGCATTGATGAAGCACAGTCTCTGCATCTGGGAACTGCAAACTATCATCCAATACAATTTCTTCAGCTCCCCCATATATTAGCTCCTCAAACACAGGGCTATGTAACACTAGTAAGACAGAATTCACCAAAAACTTTGATTGGTTAACTTTGATGCACACGATTTGAGGAACGTCAAATGACCTGAAAAACTTAACAATATTCTTTTGGTCAGGAAGGGATATTGAGGGTGCACTTTCATCCATCCTTCTTCTACTCTGTGTTTACCAACTCATTCATACTACAAAAGTGTCAATAAATTACTGTGTCATAGAAAAGGAACGATGTACACGTGATCTGAGATACCAATATCTCAATATCAAAAGGATAGTGTCTAGAAACATTCATAGTCCATGGTGGCAGGTATCAAGTTAAACGAAGTTACACTGACTGGCAATGTATACGATTGCCGTCTCCCTCTCTCACCCCTGACCGCTATCAGGGTGCTCCTGAGGATCGAGAATCTAATCATGGTGCGCATGTAACACATAATACTACAAAATGATTTAGTTTAAAAAGGAATATCTGATATACTAGGATAAGTACCTAACCATACCATTCAGTTGGTGATTCCGGGTTACAGGTATTTTATTTATTTTTCAACAGACGACAACTTCCTGTTTTTTCTTCTATATTAGTTACTCATATCTCTTTTACAGACTTTTTTACAAGGACATTGACAGATGATACTCACATTAGGCATTCATTATTGCATCTAAATTATTTCACTTGCATTAGGTTTAGAAATTTATTCTCTGGTTAACAGATTTCAAATGTTTAATTAATTTGTAGTATGACAGTAAGGTATATAAGAAGTTATTTAATTTTGCTTGGGCTATTATATTGACTATTGAGGTTTAATGATGATATGGAATTTGAATTCTATATAAATTTACACTATGTGGTTGGGGCATTTTGCATAGTAAAAATGGTTACTACTCCTATATATCATATTATTTGATTGGTATTCGATTTCTGATTATTTCTCTAGGAATATGATTATTATATCTCAATTTGGCTTTAGGTAGGGTGCCCCGCTAAAAGAACTGGATTCTTCCAGGAAGCATCCCGTGCACAGACCTTGGTCTACATATATATTAAATTATTAACCATTCATTCTGTATGTGCACGAAAATTTATTTCAATCAAACAAACTGGCTAAAAGTTGACAAGATTAAACAGCAACTTGAATCCTCTGGTTTGTGAATTTTGCATCGAATGTGATGCTTTACATTAAACTTGTTCAGTGAATAGGCTCCTTTTAATCGGTAAAATTGACGATGAATTTCCTGATTTTATTCATTGGAACTTGAGAACTACCTCAGTTTTGTGTGGCAAAAACTGATATGGGACAGTTTTAATATCCCTAAATATTATGTAAGGAGTAATTATTGACTAAGCAACTTATTACCTCATTTTAAGCAATCTAATTCGATCTAGTCCAATGATATGGTATTTACTTAGAGTACATGTAGAATGCGTGCTTTAAATCTTAGGAAGATGCACACCATGCCTTAGAAGGGGCCTTGTCATAGACCTTGTAGAGACATCCATCAGTACAAATTTGAAGGGATCAACATCAAAGAAGTATTTAATTTGATAAGTTGCAGTAAGAAATTATCTTTTCTTAGGAAGTTAAATGAAGCTATTGAAGAGGGTCATATTCTTGACTGGAAAAAATTTAAAAGGCTTAAACAAGAACATGACACTAGCCAAGAAAACAACAATTTCAAGAAAACAACAATTTTATTTAGTATCAATTAAAGCAGACAAAAATATATTTTCTATATATATAACTAGCACGAACTTTAGATCAGATATCTTAGGGGACTTGGAGTAGCAAGAGATTGACTAGAAGGTATACGCGTAATTAAAAACTTTGCAAGATGCCAAAATGGCGTCGCGTGAAAAAATAGCATTTTTCACTGTCAAGAAATTTTGCCTTTTTTAGCCAAAAATTGCCTAATATTTATTATTTTGGGCTAAAATGCCTGATCAAGGCAGTTTTTAATAATTGAAATACAGTATAGTACTTAAGAATACTCAGCCATCTAAAAAAAACTGTGTGACTTTAACATTTTCACCTGATTTTTGACCGCGCCTTTTTTATGGCGTGTATTTTAGGCAATTTTTGGGGTATTTAACGACA